TTTATCAAGCGGTATCTATTTACATATTTAACCTATTTTATCGTTATGTCCGAAGACTTTCGCGGCGACAATAACGAACGGTTTAAAATCGCGATCGCGTTTATTATAGACCTAATTCAGGGTTGGGGACAGTATAGTTTTCCTTGGCACCCCGGGATGCATACCAAATCCAATGTCACTGTATTTCAACAAGTGGACCATTCAGATTGGTTTCTCGACTCCCGGTACTGAAAACTGGTTAGACGTAATGTATCATGTACCAGTTTGCGTCAGTAAAAACGCGCGACCTGCGAAATATAATTGGACAAATCTTTTGTCAGTGCATAGAAAATGTTCCGAAATATACAGGATGTGTCTGAATGAATGTGCAACGAGATTGCAGTGCATAGAAATTGTTCAGAAATAAACAGGATCTGTCAGGATGATCAAACTCTAGGTGAGTATTCTACAAAAAAAAAATATTCAAAAACATTATTGTTAGCATTTAATTTGTGGTATATTTGTTGAACCTATCAGAGTTTATCCAATGATCCCAGTGTATCATTCTCTTTGTTGGAAACAAATGAAAATTGGAACATTTATAGTTTCTAAAATGATTTCCATGAGTCGAATACACTCCTATAGAATTTGGTATATTCTTCCTGAATCACCCTGTATGTCAGAATTTGAAATAAGCACAGAGACTATATTTTGGAAATAACTCACCGATAATTCCAAGCTATTTCATGCCACAGTTCCTTTTAAATGACGTCAAAAATTACCAGTGGGGTAGTAACAAACTCATTCGAGTGTATTGTTGTGGGTATATAATATTGTATGCAAGAAATCATCATATATAACTAACTATTTTTATTCAAACCTGAAACAAACGAAATAAATCAGAGGAATGCAAATCGATTAAGGCATGAGAAATTACCTTATAACAACAACAACAAAAAAAATTATTCGTCTTCCGTAAACTGAAACAAAATTTGAATTAAAAATGAAAACAATCGAGAACAAATTATTTTGTTTACCGATATTGCCCACACCAGAAGGGCATCCTGCTCCTCCATGTAAAAAATGGCATACTGCCCCACATTTCCTATGTTAATCAATCCTGGGGGGGCACTTGATCCCCCCAAGATCTTCCCTTGAAGTAAGAGGATCGGTTTGTTCTAAAAAAGACACAGAATTCACTTGATAATGCTGAATTGTTTGGTACCGAAATAATTTGATGAATTCTGATGAAATTCATTTTGTATTTCACGAAAACAATTATCATTGTAGGGAATGCGGACAAAATATCAATCAAAAAACTATTAAGCAAATAGAATAATTTTTTACATGGGTCCGTACTATGAGGTTGAATATTATTTTGATTATTTATTGATAATTATTGATCCTCACAAAAATTTACAATTTCTCCCGTAATACAGCCTGCTTTTTGAAATTCATTAAGATAACCGATATCCTCATGCTTTGTCTCCAAAACACGGATATCAAAAAAGATTCCTGGTTCCTGAGAGAAATCAATATGAAATGGAAATAAATGAATAAAATATACTCACTCTTAAATGACCAGGTAGCATATTCTTAATTTCTTCTATTGGTATCTCTTCTGGGAAAATTTGAACATTGTTTATTTTTTTATTAGGTACAGGAATATTTTCAACTTACCCATGTTATAGCTGCACTAAAAATAATAATAATAATAATTTTACTAGATAATATTCAAAATGAAATGTATAATATAACATGGAAATTCGTTTATATATGGACCCCTTTTTGATTATCTTTTCGTACACATTTTTTCAAAGATAATAACTAATCAGCAATACTTACTGACCCAAATCATTATATCGCTAATTTGTTTTTCCAGAAATTTCTTATCAGTCTTATTAGGTCTATTTCTCTGTTTGTGCAATAAGTGCACATTTTAATAGATTGCAGTAATATCGGAGTTAATGGCGCATCATTATAATGCTAATTTGCGCGACCAGAATCGCCGTGTCCAGGGCGATCCGGAATCACAGGGTGATCCTTCGACACCGTTAAGACCTTCTCGCAATTCATTAAAAAACAGACAATATTCACATTACGGAATCACATAGAACTTCATCTATTGAAAAAGTAGAATTCCAACTCACATAGGGTTTTACCTATTGGGAACTCTAGATCATGAGTTGAAGTAACGCCCTATGTGATCTGTCACTCTCTTCAGGTTACCAACTCACATACGGGTTTACATGTTAGCGTTTTGGGAAAAAGTAGAATTCCAACTCACATAGGGTTTTCAGTACTTCGATTTCTAAATCAAGTACAAGTACTGAAAGGCCTATGTGATTTAGTTCTCTCTTTAGGTTACGAACTCACATAGGGGTTTATTACATGTTAGCATTTTGTGAAAAAGTAGAATTCCAACTCACATAGGGTTTTACCTATTGGGAACTCTAGATCATGATCTAGAAGTGCCAATAGGTAAAGCCCTATGTGAGCTGTCACTCTCTTTGTCTTACTACTAACATACGGTATATTAGTAATTTCGAACCATGAGGGTTTTATAAACATAAAGTAAATCAAATCATCCGTTGACATTGAATTATAAAAACTGACCAAGGAACTCTCATGAGAAACGTGCATATCTAATAAAATGATGTATATAAATATTGGATGTGACGGTTCCGAAGTTAGTCTGGTCTGGGGCTACTCTTGACTTGACAAGAGCTCGTCGTAATGGTCGTTATAATGTAAGTTGTTATTAGGTCTTTATATTCATTGTTGATTATTCATATTTGTCATCACTTCACCCATAATGTTTTATGCTGCAATAAATATTGTTATGTTTGAATGTAATCTCGTACTTTCAGTTACCCCTAAACTATTAGTGCCTATTTGAATATTACCTCTCGCAAACTATTAAGCCAAGCATTACCCCTTGTAAATCGATATGGGTGGAGAAACCATCTATTCATCATGACATGGTGGAAACACAACCATCATGTTGTGACAATATTCCAAAAAGCATGTAGAAATAATTCAATCATTGACAAAATTGGAATAATGAATAAATTTGTGTCCATATTACTGATTTTTTCAGCCTTTGTCATAGTAGTTCATTATCAGCAGTCAACAACTAACCTTCAACTTCCCAAATGCCTTCCATTCATATGAGTAATGAAACCAATGCTGTTCCATCACCCAACTTGATTTCTGGACCATTTGATGCTCAAGATCCTGATCCTGATTCTATGCCTGAGACCCCATCATAATTTGAAAAAGTTGCAAGTGATTTGACTGCCTTGAAACTTCCCCCTGCATGGGGTGTTCATGACCTAGTCTCCATGGAACGGATGTTGCTCATCAAGCAAGATGTGATAAGAGCACATTTAAAAAAGAAGGGGTGGAACTAAATGATTTTTTGATTAGAACACTAGAAGATTTGGGAAAATTTATTGAAATAATGGAAAATACAAAAGTTTGTCAATGGGGAAGCAAATCCTGTATGATAATTGTGGATCACAAAAAAAAAACATCTGTAAACAGTGCAAAGGTTACAACTATTTCTTTAAAAATGGAAAAATGAAAAAGGACAACAGCACCATCAAGAAAATAAGCAAATCAAAACATCTAGCATATATCAGGAAACAAAACAAAAGTGTGATCGTCAATTTTTAGGGGGAGAAAGAAAATTGACCAAAGTAAATTGGAAACATTTACAAGAAATGTTCCATCTGTTCAGAAAGAGATGATCAAAGCATGTTCAAAAGCAGCCAAAACAACTGGTCCTGGAAACAGATTTACAATAGAATGGATATATGAATGCATTCTAATGAAAATCAAGAGCCCCAAATTATATTTCCATATGATAGATAACAACATTTTATCTCTTCAATCACCGAGTACATTCTTAAGGTGAGTACATTGATGAGATTAGGTACTGCCCTCCTAAGCTAGAACGCAGTAACTCCTAATTTGTCATTCTGGAGTTACTGCATTTCTAACATATCTAGAACATTTTTGTATCTGTCTAACTAAGCAGAAAAGCAGTATTGGCAATCCATATTCAAATAAATGGCTGAAACGTTTGCAGTATGTCCACTTTTTGATGTTAATACATATCTAAAGAGCAGTATCTGACATTTGCTTGACTAAAATGCAGCATCTTCAATTTTGCCTGGAGATATTGCGTTTATGTCTAGGGTCAGGTGACATGCAAACATTTTTATTGTATGTGCGGCAGATCTCAGTCGCGTTTGAACGTGTAGAAGATGACATAAACATAACCAACAAGTAATAAAAAAAGTGGTAGTAGTAGTTTGGAAAAAGTTATTTCGAGTAATTGGTAATTACATTCTTCATAATGTTTATTGTCATTTACTTCTTTCTTTCTATTTCTTTTTAATTCGGGAGTTTACTTGAGCTCTTTATTATAACAACTATATTAATTTATATCAAAAATATTCAACATTGGTCTCAGTTGTTTGATCAGTTTCCTACTTGCCATTTAAAAAAACCTTAGAGGTGCTTCTTGGCTAATACCTAATTAAGAATTATTATTCATGTTATTTGAATGTGGTTTTTTCACTTGCTTCAGATTTGCTCCGTAAATTACTATGGAGAACAAGAAGTACGGTTATCGGTGGAAACTGATTAAGAAGGGTCTTCAGAATAAGGTGACAATAAATGTGAGTGATGTGCAAGCTATATCCAGCAATGTGATCGAACAGACAGAAACAAATGAGTATGTCACATTAAATCCGCTGAGCCTCTACAATGCTGATATCTCCAAATCTGGTTCAATTGCTGCTTCGCCATCTGGAGATAACTTAGACGGTCCTTCATTAATGCCAGAACCACCTTCAACTGAAATCATGGCCGCTGAGGAGCCAGACTTTTCTAATTTGAATCAGGATGCAAATATTCCAATATTAGATTCCAATCATTTGGCATTCGGTTATCCCCACTAACCTGAATTCAATGCGCCATCATTGCTTCTGCTGATCCATTCAAATGAAATCATGGATGCAAACATTCCATTGCTTGATTCTAAAAACACTGTTGTCGACGATCCTCACCATTATGACCTACCTGATTCTGATACCCCATCATCACCAGTACGCCACACCCAAGACGTTCTGGTTGCTGCTACTGATGAAGCACAATGTTCTTCAATAAACACAATTCAAGAAGCAAACATGCCCTTATTAGATTCTGACGACTCTGTGGACGATCCCCATTACTTACCTGACTCTGATACTTCATCTGATCAACCTTTGAGCAAGATTCGTAGAACATTAAAGAAAACCTCAACTCACCAGAGTGGAGAAGTGGCTGAAGTCATTCACCCTGATGAACAATACACTAAAAGAACGGGAGAACTTAAAAAAAGAAAGAAGTTTTATAAAACCGTTGCAGAAAGGAATGCTGATAAACTGGAAGAAATTAAAACTAAACATACGGTTCGAACAGGTTGTGGATCATGCAAGAAAGGATGTGTTGGAAAAATTGCGGAAGATCAGCGTATATCAATCAATAGGGACTACTGGATGATGTCCTGGCAGGAACGTCAAATTTTTCTTTCGGCAAGTATTTCAACTATGGAAGTGAAACGGCGAAGAGGATCTGGAATGTCGAGGACAAGGTCTTGTAAATACTTTTTGAAAACTGCACACGGTGAAAAAGTGGAAATCTGCAAAGTGTTCTTTCTAACTACACTGGGATATAATCGCAAAAACGACCGAGCTATCACCAATGTTATTAATAAGGAAAATTATGCTACGAGCGGGCAAGATAAACGAGGAAAGCACCCCAAAACTCCTAAAACGGATCGAAGTGTAATCAAAACACATATTGAATCTTTTGAACCTACCATTTCCCATTACAAAAGAGAACATGCGCCGAACAAAAGGTATTTAGCTAGCGATATCAACATCACTAACATGCATAAGGATTTCATGGCAAAACATCCCGACATAAAGTGTTCTTACGAGTTATACAGAAAGTGTGTTTCGAAGGACTGTAATATTCCATTCACTAAATTGGGTCACGAGGAATGTGAAACATGTGAAATTTTCAAGATGCATGATCCAAAACATACTCAACAAAATCTAATACCAGACTGCGAGTCGTGCAAGGCATGGGAAAATCATACAAGTAAGGCAAATAATGCCCGTGAAAAATACAGGACAGATACTGCTAATGCTGGTTCCGATGAAACATCCCTAATTGTTTCTGCAAATTTAGAAAAAGTTATAATGCTCCCCAGGATCGACATGTTCAAGCAGGTGATATTTTGTCAACGAATTATTGTGTTTAACGAAAGCTTTGTACCGATTGGCAAGAAGCAGCAGATCAATCCTTTCGCTTGCCTCTGGCATGAATGCATCTCCGGAAGAAAAAAAGAAGATGTTACGGTTTCACTTTGATTTAATGTAAGTATGTGCACAGACTAGAAGCAGAGTTATCTAAAATCCTTTATTCAATCGTTATACAGATCATTTAGGTATCATGCTTGATATTCCATCTTCTTTCGAGTACTGCTCAGATCCAGCATACCTGTAAAATAATGAGAACCAATTAATAAAAGGAATCATTCCCCCATTGTTACTTACTTATGACATCAACTTCGATATCCTCGGTCCGATCTCTACTGTGGGCTTCCTCTGGTCCGAATCTGTGAAATACATATATATTGGTGAATTATCAACAACATTTGCAATATAATGATCTTACCTTGTTGAAAATCAAGTAGTAGAAAAATAATAACATTGATCCACCATTAACCTTACTATATTAGTTGAAGGTTATCACTAGTCTGGACTCTGGGTTTTGTCATCTTCTTCTTCTGCTCCATCTGGAATACCTAGTAAGTCCTCAACCTGAAAATAAGATAACTCCTAACTCAACCTAATAACCTAAAACTGTATAACCTGACAAGTGGGTCATTTTGGCGGGATTCTGGGAAAGTACCGCCAAGATAGTGATATTTGACAGGGCTTTTTCTGATAACCTATGAAGGTATTGAAACGTGCCATCGCATTGTTGCGGATTTAAATTTTATAATCAAAACTTACTAGGAAATATAAGTAGTCAATGGACGGTCCACTGCCTACTACCTGCCAAGGGATAAAATTCCTAGTCAGAATTTGATTATCAGATATCATTTTCACAACTCGCTGTAGTTGATACATCTGGCCACCTGAGAACAAGGTATGGGTTGAATCAAACAGTTCTGCAGCTTATTTTATGAATTTCTACATAGTAGCATTATTACTTGCAGGGCCAAAAACGATTTCTAGTAGTCGATAAGTGTACGTACTGCTATAACCACAGATGCTTATATTATTGCCTGCTTTGCTTTTGCTTTCTGCATGATACCCTGGGTACATCAGCCTGCAGATACCTCCTGCCTAGCATGTCAATTGTAGTTTTAAAACAGAGGGTAGCCAACAACGATTCGACCTGTGGATCAGAAGCTGACTTGAGCAGGCCAGACTGCTTATATCCACCACTTACCTGTCTTACTTGCTGTGGGACACCCTTGCTCCAAGCTGCCTCTGTCACCTATAAAAATCCTTCAAAGTGAGCTGTATCTAGTCCTTCTTTTAGTTGCACTAATTCAGGATATAATGCATTGACCTCACCCAGTATTAGCATAGTTTAAGTATAGTATATCTAGTGATCATCCTGTACACTTTTGGTATCGATACCAGAGGGAAAGCTGGGTAAGTTTCCACTGCAACTTGCAATCTGGATTGTGTTATCATGGTTTCATCTGTAATAGTCATCACTACTTGCTGCTCATAAATCACTGCCAAATTTCTCAGAATTAACTACCACTTACCACCATATGAAGTGAACCAACCTCAACTAACAATAAAGAAATATTCTACTTTTACACCCACCCCCTGAGTTTTATTATTCACATAAATTCCCATTGTTTTTAGTGTCCCCTTTTCAGGGGCTTAGCAAACAACGTTATAAAGACTTGATCAGTACCTTTCACGTTTTCCTCATCGCCATGCGAGACTTTGAGAACATAACCTTCTGGTTAGATAACTGTTCCGGACAAAATAAAAACTGGGCCCTATTTTCCTATCTGACATATATTATCAATTCACCTGAAACAGCAACAATTAAACTGACTTCGCGATATTTTGAGCCAGGACATACATACAGTTTTCACCACCAGGTGGAGCTATCTCTACAACAGAAGAAGAAAGTCTACGATTTTGCAGATTTTGTAAATTGTGTACAAGCTGCAAATTCAGGAAAAGTGACCGTGAAGGAAATGAATCTGGGGGACTTCTTTGTTTGGCCCGATAATTCTTCCTCTCACAAAATAAAACAATTGATTCCAAGACCTTATATGAAAGACATTGTGGAAGTCATTGCGCAGAGAGGAAAAAACGAACTCATTTATCGAACAAGTTTGGATGCAGAGGTGAATCATATGAATTTCCTGAATGAAAAAGCTATACGTCAACTGGATCTTCCACCAAGAATAATTAAACCAAGAGGAATCACAAATGAGAGAAAACGCAACATCGAGAAATACTTGCTTCCTTTAATACCACAAAATAGACGAGTATTTTGGGAAAAACTTCCTGTTGATGACAAGGCGATCGACCTAAGAAATGCAGATGAAAAGGAATGATAAATTATATATATATATATATAAATACAATAACCTTAGAAACAGTTCCAAAGGAAATCTTTCTAGGTGAGGTTGCAGTCAAAATTTTGGCCTTGATGAGAGGACTCTTTGTTACATAATCGAGCTTTCGGAAATGTTTATTTCCTTTATCAAGACATCTATAAAAAATGGGTAAGTGTAAAAACTTTGTCAATAATACATTTAAAAAAAGTACTTACTAACGTGAGATTGGTGTAAAACACAATGAAATACATAACAGTAGCATCTTCAGCTGAATTTGACGATTAAAACATTTTTTAATTTTATAATTTTAGGAATTTTAGGAGAATTGACTTATATTGGCCAAACTTCCAGGAATTTATCAGGACGCATAATTCCACATAAGAGTGACAGCAAATGTAATAAAAGAACTTGTGCATTAGCAGAGCATGTTAATGATGAGGGTCACCATATGAATTTCAATGATGTCAAAATTTTAGCTCATGAAAATAATTATCTCAAACGAAATTTCCTTGAAATGGTTTTATCAACAATGAACTTTCGAAAATGAATAAAAGAACAGACATTGGCAACTTGAGTAGCATTTATAATTATTTACTTGCAATAGAACAAAAAAATTGTATTCCTAATAACATATCTAGATTATCACAAACAATTCCTCAACCTCAATTTCTTGTCTCACCACCCAATTAATTTTCAAATTTGCCGCCACGGTTCCCTTTCTTCTCTCACAACGGTCGTCGGTCTGAAACGATTTCCACCGAAGTAGTTGGCATTTCCGACACTTCCAACCGTCCATTTTGTTTTCAAAGGTCCGTTACGGAAAAGAAATGAAACCTGTGGATTGTTTCCTATTGCTTTTTATCCTAAAATTATAAAATTAAAAAATGTTTCAATCGTCAAATTCAGCTGAAGATGCTACTGTTATGTATTTCATTGTGTTTTACACCAATCTCACGTTAGTAAGTACTTTTTTTAAATGTATTATTGACAAAGTTTTTACACCTACCCATTTTTTATAGATGTCTTGATAAAGGAAATAAACATTTCCGAAAGCTCGGCTATGTAACAAATGGGCCTCTCATTAAGGCCAAAATTTTGACTGCAACCTCACCTAGAAAGATTTCCTTTGGAACTGTTTCTAAAATTATTGTATTTTTACCTTAACTAGTCAGTCACGACTACCCTCCTCCTAACTATATATATATATATATATATATATATATATATAATAAATTATATATATTTCGAAATACTCCTGTATTTCTGTGTTCATATTCACGGAAATCACATTCAGTATGCAATCTAAACTGTTGAATAGTAGTTTTTTTGGTAATATAAGAATATCACGAATATTCTGCCTAATGGTGAAAACAATCACATAATTCACATACTGAATCAAGTTATATAAGTACGAATTACGAGAGCAAACATGAGAAAAGATTCTTGAATGTAATTGAGTGAGGTACGTCAATTTGATGCCAAATTGGTATATTATTCTATATCTGTAAATCAACGTATCATCCAATTCATTTCAGATTAAGACATCTTTGAAAAGCTACTTTTTCCGAACAAAACAAAAATTTTGAATGAACAGTTGCTATCCTCTTTTGTGAAAAAATGATAGGTGAGCAGATTTGTAAAAAAACAGTGTCATCAACCATTCGCAGTCATGACTTAAATCATTTCGAAAACAGACCTCAAAGTCGCAAGAACAATAAGAAAAAATTAACGGTATTATAATCATTAAACCCTGCTTTCGGATCTACAAAATAAGTATAGTCTATTGATATGAGTGAACAAAAACGATAAAGAAGCAGGAAAAACAAAAAGAAGGATATATTAGTTGATTTACTAAGTAGAAAAGCACACCGGCTATCGTTTCATAGCCAAGGCGTAGCCGAGGATTGAATACCAGCGGAGGCATTGAATCTGCATTTCTGCCATGCAAAACATGATTTTGTCTCAAATTCGTTGCAATTCCACACATATTTAAATCAATCTATCATTTTGTGTTCACCCAAGTCATTGTCAATTTTGATTTCCAATTTGATTTGAATATTAATTACTTGAAATATTGCATAGCATAAAACTTTCTCAGTATAGGCAAATAAAGTACACCTTTTCTGCCTGTTAAGTGACAGAAAAACCACTTCTAATGTCATTTTGGAGAAAAAATATATTTTTCTCTGAGCAGCATAGAGAGTGGCATTTTTATGACACTTATCAGGCAGCAAAGGTGTACTTTTTCTGCATTTGCTGGGCAACGATCCAAGTAATTTGAATGGAATGAAATTACAGAGAATTGGGTTTGAAACATTTGGAGAGAAAATTATATATGTTTCACACGGTAGCAAATGTATATTGAGTGCATTGGCTTAATTTCAAGCCTTGCTACTCTTGGCTATTCAGCTATCAGCCATCAACAAATGGAAAACTTTTTTTATTATGAATTTTAGGACAGAGGGCATTCTTTACAGAAAGTTCTGCAAGGTTTGAAACCAAGAATTGAATAACAAGATGTATAATTTTTTCAGTCCTAGTCAAAAAATCTTGAAGAAATTGTTAAATATAATAAAACCTGATTTTCATCACAGACAAATGAAATTAGATATTTGAATGTACTTTCTGATTCTAGTCAACTTTTTTCGAATAAAATTCTCGATATTGTCGAAAATGAAGGTACTTTACTCCTGAGCAAAATTGATTTTTGTTATATACCTCATATAGGACTGAAACAAAAAGATATCTGATTATTGTGTTTTCGGTTTTTGGCCTTGCAGATCTAAAAACCTTGTTTTTCGAAAATTGATAAAAAAAAGTTCTCCATCTGATGCCAATTTTTTTCGACATACTATATAATTAAATTGGCAGAGGGACTTTGATAGCATTCCGAACATTGCTGTTCAATTAGGTATTATCATTATTATTATTATTCTATTTCGATATTATTTTTTAACAAAAATATTTTCATAAAAATTTACTCTTTTCTGATGTGCCAAAATATAGCTATGTTTCCCGGAAAAACATAGTGATTGTTGCGTAGGTGCGCTCATAATTAAACAAAACGAATGAATATGAATTTGTATTTTCTGCAACAACAAACTCTTATTCATTGAAAACATTGCATTGAATAACAGTTGCAATATGAGTTTTTTGCACACGACAATCTGCGAGCGTAATATTGAACTAAGATTTCATAGAGGAATGTCAGTTATTCAGCGAAAAATTGAGAAACAAAAAAACTAGATAATACCCCATTACAAGTGTATTGTCATAATGTGGGCGGTTTAAGAACGAAGCTCAATCAACTATCAGCGGCTGTGACTTGTTCTGATTATGACATATTATTGATAGAAAGTTGGTTAAATAGTGACATATCCAATTAGGAACTCAGATTAAATAACTACAATGTTTTTCGGTGTGATCGGTCTGAATCAACCAGTGAGAAATCTAGAGGAGGTGGTATACTGATTGCCATTCACATGCGCATAAGTGAGAGAATATTGACCTTGGCGAATAAGCATACCGAGCAGCTGTTTGTTCTTTGCAAGTATAACAAGAAGGATTTTATTATTGGCGGCAGATATACTCCATCTGCCGCCCAACTCTTCTGAATAAAAATATCTCATGATCAGGCTATAGAGGACGCTCGATCTGAATATCCTCTGCTAGACTTCTATGTTTATGGAGATCTTAATTTGCCGGCAATAACTTGGGTGAACGATAATCTAGGCGCAGCTGCAGCTGGTAATCAGAACGATTGTTCTGCAATATCAGCCCAGTCCTATGCTTTCTTGAATTTTTATCAACACATTGATATCCCTAATACTAGAAATGTATTTTTAGATTTATTATTTTCTAATTTAGAATCTGTTAATGTGAGTTAAGCAACAATGGATCCACTTTTTCCCAGCACGATACATCATGAACCATATACCTTCAGCATCCATGCTTATAATATGGGAGCAGAGGCGCTCAATTATGTTGAGTACTATTCTGATTTTACGAATGCTGATGTAGTTGGTTCAAATAATTACCTGGCACCGATAAATTGGTCAGAATTTTCAGACACTAGCAATGTAAATACAGCTGTTAAATCATTTTATCAAGTTTTGTATTTGGCAATAAGACAATTCGTCCCTTCAAAACAATATAAGGTTTCTTCTTTCTTTTCCGAAATGGTTTACCATGAATTTAAGGAAGTTGGTTACTCAAAAGAAAATCGTTCATGAAGAATATAAACAAACAGGCGATATGATATCTTATCAGAGATTTGTTGATCTTAGAATACAATGTAAAAACTTATCAAACGATCCTAGTTCCTTCTGGAAATTTGTAAATAATAAAAACTCAGCTTACAGTTTTCCCAAAAATATGATTTTGGAAAACAAACTTGCTAGCGATGGTGAGGCTATAACGCAGCTGTTTGCAGACTACTTTTCTACGATTTATGTCAATAATCACAATGTTGCCCATGAATCTGTAACATATACTACAAACTACGACATTGAATGCTCTAACTTTTCAGTTTCTACAGTCAACATTGAGATTAATTAATGGAAATGGTTTGGACATATTTCATGGGTCTCTTAATAGTTTCAAAAAACACTTGTTGAATCTGAACTTTGAAACATAGAGCTCTCTCATAAGTTAGATTCATTATATAGATTTAAGACAAGTATTAATAATATTTACATACCTTTCGTTTTTTTCTGTAATGGAGTTTCCCGTAAATGAATAAAAAAATAAATAAATAACTGTAAGTGGAAGAACGATACGGAGAA